TCTATCTATCTATCTATCTATCTATCTATCTATCTATCTATCTATCTTAGTATCTATCTTTGCTTGCTAGTTTTATGTCAACTTGACACAAAAGTTATCGTCATCTGAGTAAAGAGAACCTCAGTTGAAAATTTCCTTCCATAAGGTTGGACTGTAGGCATTTTTCTTAATGACATGGGAGGTCCAAGGCCATTGTGGGTGGTGTCATCCTTGGGCTGGTGGTCCTGGGTTCTATAAAAAAGCAGGGGAATAAGCCACGAGGAGCAAGCCAGTATGCAGCACTCTGCCATGGCTTCTGTATCAGCTCCTGCCTCCAGGTTCCTACCCTGATTGAGTTCATGTCCTGACTTTCTTCAATTATGAACAATAATGTGGAAGCTTAAGCCAAATAAACCCTTTCCTCTCAAAGTCACTTTGGTCATAGTGTTTTATAACTAGGACACCTATGCACCTATACATAAACATTCTTTAAAATACATTAAAAATAGACAGGGGCCTTCAAGATTTATAATATACTTAAGTAACTTAACAACCATAATATGTTGATAATACAATTTTTAAACTCTAGAAAACTCATTATGACCTCTTTGGTATGATTTTTGAATTATAAGAATTGAAGCTTGAGGCCCCGAGTTCAATCACTGGGACTCACATAGTGAAAAAAGAACTGACTCTTACAAATTGTCTGCTGACTTCCACATACTCACTGTGGCACATGCTTCCCCTTCCAAAGACATGCTCACACACAAAATAAGCAACGTAATTTAAAATTTTATTTTTAGAAAGTAGGTAATAGAAACTATATTGATAGTTTGAAAGATTTAAAAAATTCTATTATCAGTATATAATGATTGTTTAATAGCTTAAAATTGTGCATACAATAATACTTAATAAAAAGTCAACAATATTAATTTTTGAGTTGGCATTATAGATATCTAGTTAAATACACTAAAACCAGCTTTGTTTTAAAATGTTCTTTCCTACAGAGATAAATCATTAGAACATCCAGTTGAGATAATGAGGGTCACTTCTCAAACACTGTGGACGATCAGATCATGTTACCTCTCAGAAGAACTGAACGCATCTCGAGAAACAGATGATGATCTTGTGTTCCCAACACTGCCAGTATGAGATCGCCTTCCTTTTGCTGATGGTGTGTCTAGTGGTATCTCTCCCAAACCCTATAATTAAACACAAAGTCAATGGGAGACATCTTAAAACTAGCAGTGGAATAGCTTACAAATTGACTTTTCAAAGCAGCTCTGATAAAACACAGTCACAATTCTATGGAGCCTGGAGAGAGAGCTCAGTGGGTAGGTGAAAGGTCTTGCTGTGCATGCCTGATGGCCAGACTTTTCTCCCCGAAACCCATTCAAAAGCTGAGTTGAGGGGAGAACTAATTCTACAAAGTTGTTCTCTAACCTCCACATGCTCACCATAATATTCTCACTACACACACACACACACACACACACACACACACAAAATTAAACATTTTTCTATTTATTGTACTTGAAATGACTCACAAATACAATCAACTTCATTTTAGTCATTTCTTTGCATGGCTATTTTAGTAAGTTCTATATGAGCAAGTTTTCTATGAAACAGTCAATATTAATAGGCAGAAAAATTAGTCTAAAATGCTTGTTACTATATATATTTGTATGTCCCTTTATAATTGAGTCCTTAGCCCAAGGTCATTTAAAAAGTGACATGAAGTTACAATATAAAAATTGTATATTAAGCACATTAAGATGTATTTTTTTACATTTTACTACTATGCTCATTTTATAAAAATAAACATTGTAGTTACAGAAATGAACTGTACTGACTATTATGAGGTTTGAATTTTAATCCGAGTCTTACAGTTCTAACATAACAAACAATAGCCTACCAAATACGTTTTTTTTCCTAGCTTGGAGATTTAAAAAAAAAAAGATTTTATTTATTTATTTTATATATATGACAAGTACACTGTAGCTGTCTTCAGACACACCAGAAGAGGGCATCAGATTCCATTATAGATGGTTGTGAGCCACCATGTAGTTGCTGAGACTTGAACTCAGGACCTCTGGAAGAGCAGTCAATGCTCTTAACTGCTGAGCTATCAATCCAGCTAAGGTTTTCTTCAAACAATGTCCTAACATCATTATTTTCACTATTATTTTATGTGTTTTTCTATCTGTATGTCTGTGCACCACATGTTTGCATGGTCCGGAAGAAGATGTCCAAAAGAAGACACTGGTCCTGTGGAATTCAAGTTAGAGACAGTTGTAAGCCACCACGTAAGTGCTGGGAACTGAACGTGGGTCCTCTTGAAGAGTAGCCTGTGCTCTTAACCACTGAGGCCTCTCTCCGGCCTCATCATTTAAATCTTAATAAGCAATGGACATTTGCTCTTTAGGGCCAAGTGTACATATATCTACTTAGAGTTGCAGTGTAGCCCTATTTCAAAATAGGGAACATAAGAATAATCTAAAAAAACCAAATGTTTAATTGTTTATATTCTTTATCTTTAAGGAAAAATAAACCTTGTATTTATTTTTACTTATTTATTTCTTAATCTATTACTTTATTTATTTGGAGGTTTTTTGTTTTGTTTTTGTTTTTTGTTTGTTTGTTTGTTTTTGAGACTAGGTATTATGTTGCCAAGGCTAAGCCAGCACTCAATATGCAGCTGAGGATACCCCTCTGATTTTCTTGCCTCTGCCTCTCAAACGCTGTGAACACCTGGCTTATAAGCTTTGTTTTAAAAATTGTTTTACATTACAAACTTTATTTACATACCTTTTGCCGTAAATTTTTAACGGATTCTTTAATATATGGCAAATCTTTGGATGGGATATACTTTTCAAGTAGTTTTTCAAAGTTAGGATGACCCATCATGAGGAAAAGCATCTTTCGACCATAATACCTATGGATTTGTAAGAAATACATATATTAACAAATTCAGTTTCTGTCCCTGATATACTTTTCCCAATGGATAGGGGCTATGGACAGAAAGACTGCTAACCCCTTAGGTAGATAAATCTCTGAGTGTCCTTGAGACAACAGCAGCCCCTTGCTCTCACATCTGTTCCCTTTTAAAGGCACTGCAGCTTAAATCTTTCAGTCATAAGTCAGAAGGGAAGTACAAAGTTTGGCAATTCTTGATTTTTGTGTGTGTGTGTGTGTGTGTGTGTGTGTGTGTGTGTGTGTATGCATAGCAGTCCATATTTAAGCCTGCATTCTGCAGAATTGAGAGCTAAGGGAAGTGTATCATCTCTATCTTAGCATCCTCCTGAAAGGACCTTGCTGCTCTTCACCAGCCAAAAGGCCTTTGTTTGTTAACCTTCTCTACTTCCTGTCTTTCTGACTCCTCTCTCTCCTTTCCTAACACAAACTTACCTGGATGCCACTCTTCAAAATTCTATTCTCTGTTATTTAAGATACAAATTTTAAAAATGAACCCACTGTTAGGTGACACAGTTAAGGTTACTATGCTACTAAAACAGCGGGATAGTCTTCAAGCTAGAATTATGTTACATAAAACTAAGCCAAACCCTCTTACGGTAAAGAAGCCAGATGTCAATCTAATAGTGGAACATCAGGCATCAAAGAGGTGCATACTGGAGACATCTCGGGACAGAGATCTTAGTACCACAGTATTACTCCTAAAGAAGGACTGGTGCTTAGACAAGTCACAGTTACACACACTTGTGCTGACAAGTGTCAATACAGGAAACTATAAGACTCAAAAGACAAGTTCTTGTGAGAACAGAATGATCTCAGGACAGTCTGACAACCAGATTTCCTCAGTAATAAAACTGAAGAAAAGCACATGACAGCAGAGATCAGGAACTTTCCCCACAAATAGAATAAGGTCTATAACTATTCAGGTAAGTATACCTACCCAACTGTAACTTCAAGAACAATTCAACCTGTTAGCCTAGACTATTAAGACAAAAACAGGTCTGCCATAATGCTCAGAAATATGGGAAAGGCTAAAACAAATAAGAAATCGAACAACTGACCTAAAAACCTGATCACTGGTAAAACCCACAGACTAACTGTAAGCATTTTATACTGTCCCAACTGCAGAGAACACAGGCTCTGCAGCGCAGCCCTTTCCTAGTCTATAAGGCTCTACGTTAACCCCGGCACAAAATGGAAAAACAGAACAAAAAGGGGTGGGGCTAGTAAAAGATAAGGACACATAGCATATAGCCACTAGGAATTCTTTCTTTCTTACTAGTCAATGATTTCATGCTCTTGAACTCTTGTTTTGTTTTGAAGCAGAGCCTTGCTAAACAGCCCAGCTATCCTTGAGCTTGAGATCATTCTGCCTGCTTCAGCTTCCTGAGTTTTAAAATTACAGTATTACTATGCCTGGCTCTCTTGGATTTTTCTAAATGTTTTTGTATGTTTTGTTTTTTCAACACAAGGTTTCTCTGTGTAGCCCCAGATGTCCTGGAACTCACTCTGAAGACCATGCTGGCCTCATATTCAGAGATCCACCTGGTTTTACCTTCTGAATGCTGGGATCAAAGGCATGCACCACCACCACTGGGCTTATGGAACTTTTTAAATGGTTTCCCTAAGCTTTCTTACTCAAATTCCTGAAATTTGTATGAAATATCCCTTGTGGATGGGCTTCATATAATCAGACTGTCCTTAGAACTAGAAAGCTTTCTGTGGGTACTGATGGAACAAGAGGTAAGAGAGATTCTACAATGGGGGAATTCAAGTGGTTTACTTTACAGGACCTCTAGAAACAGCCGAATTCTGCCATCAACTTTATTTTAACCATATGGAACACTAAGCAGGGGACTCAGTGGGGCCATGCTAGACTTCTCCAGTAAAGAACTGAATAACTGAAGTAGCCTGACACTGCTACATTTGTGCTGATTTCTTACATAACAATAGAAAGTGCATTTACTCTCAAAATTAGCTTTTGGTAATAAGGGATCCTACAAGATTAACTCTAGACATATGAGTAACAGACATCACTATCTTACAAGGTCAAAACATTTTAGATTCTTTAACTTTCTTGAACAAAGAATGCTCTTTCCATTTTTAAATTAGTGTAAAAAAAACCAAAAAAACAAAAAGAGCAACAATAAAATTCAAAAAAAAAAAACAAATTAAAAGAACTCCAAAACAAAAGAAAAAACAAACAAAAAAACCCAGGGTCTCTTTATATAGTCCTGGCTGACCTGGAATTCACTGTGTAGACTAGGCTGATCACCCATAGATTCATTTGCTCTGCACACCGAGTGCCGGGATTAAAGGCATGCATCACCACTTCCTAAACCTATGCATTTTCCCCATGCTTAGACTGCTTACCATGTCCATCCTTCCTAAACTTACAAAACTGATCAACAAAGACTAAACAAATAACTTACTAAAGGGCAATAGTGATATAGGAAAGGAACTTACCCCTAGGTTTCTGACTAAATAAAAATTTTCTGCTGATGTTGGAAAACTATTCTTGTGTACTGTGTATGAAGCAGTTATCTTCATCATATTTTGTAAACATCTTCTTCTAATTAAAGTGACTAACCTCAGGTAATTGGTTTAATAAAGAGCTGACAGCCTATAGCTAGGCAGGAGAGACTAGGTAGAACACCCAGGGAAAGAGTCAGACTTGGAGGAAGTTGGATGTAAGAAACTGAGGAGAGGTTAAGGAGCCACATGGGAGAACACAGATTAAAATAAACAGGTTAATTTAAGTTTAGGGCTAGTTGGGAACAAGCCTAAGCGAAGGCCTAAAGCATTCTTATTAATAAAAGGTCTGTCATTATTTGTGAGCTGGTGCCTCAGAGACAGTCTGGCGGTATGCCACCACTCTAGGTATTATGCTATAAATACTCTTGCCTTCTTTAGCTGATTGTTATTAACCTTCCTAGACTGGTTCAAGTAACAGTCGTCAGAAATTTATATAATATTGTAAGTATAAATACATTATTTTCTGTTGCTAATATGTTGTTAAACATTATTCCTATATTTGACATGTGTACTTCTTTCTCTGATTTTTATCTAATTGCTTTAAGCACCTAATTTTTCCCAAAATTTATGTGACTTTTGCCCACAATAAAGTTCTGCCTCTTTCTTGCTCATTCTAGTCTTGTGTCCTTCAATGATGTAAAGTCTTACTAAGAACTATGAAATGACATCTGTAAATTTGAAAAATTCACTATGTGTTTGTTCAGTATCACTTACAAATTGGTAAATAAACTATCCCCAGTATCTATCATTTTTCCATTCAGAAGAATGTTTATTTCTTTTCAAAAATCTCCACCTTCTAAAGCCTTATTTCTAAATTTTCAGTGTGTGTAAAGGCACTGGCCTTCAAGCCTGGTGACTTGAATTCAACCCCAAGAACCCACGTGGTAGAGGGAGACTTAGCAAACTGCTCTGACTTTCATGTGCACACCATGACATGTGTATTCCATGGCACACTTGTGTTCCCCTGCCCTCACACACAAAATGAGTAAGTGTATATTTTTAATTATGAAAAAGAAAAGACTTAGAAAATATTACCAGTTATTCACCTGGTTTCTTGTGAACTGTCTTGAGCAAACTTAGCAGCAGCAGGCAACAAACGATCCGCCATATCCTTTGTTCCAGATGAAATCCGCTCTGGTTCCATACATTCTACTACATCTGCCAAGTGCTGGGCAGTGCATCTTCTTACTGCAATGTGCAGATGGCTACAAGAAAACATGCAAGGATATGTAAGCTGAGGCATGAACTATTTTCCAAGAGTATACTAATGTTCAACAAATTTAATTTGTTAAAAATTTAACAACTCACTAATATTCCTAAAAGATTAAAATGACAAAGGTTTCATATTATCTGTCACCAAGAAGATACATCAAAAATGTCGATATTTTTTGTATTTATTAAGACTTGCTTTACTGTCTATTTTGTGATCAATTTTAGAGGTTCTATGGTATGCTGTAAAAAACCAGGTATTCCAGAGCTGTGAGATGGCACATTCTGCAGACAGCTATTAAATTCTGTGTTATAGTGTGTGTGGGGTGTGACTGTAGAAGCACACACGTCAGTGTGCACGTGTGGAGGGAGGGTCTGGGACAGCAGCCAGGGTTGGCAGCAGAGGCCATTACCTGCTGAGCTAGCTCATCTTCTACTCAAGTTTAGCACTCAGGTTTCTTTGTTGATTATTAGTTTCGCTGACCTATTAAAAGACTTGATAAGAAAATAAAGACACACACTAGTACTGCATCAAGACCTTTCTGATCTTTCATTCTGTTTAGTGTGTCTTTGATGAAGTTAGGAGTCTCAACATTAAGTACATTTGTAATGACTGTAACTTCTTGATAAACTGTTCCCTTCATGAATATGTATTATCATTATCTCTTCTGACAAGCTGTGGTTTGAACTCTACTTCATTAGGTGTCAACATGGGTACATTTGTTTATACTTCAAAGGCTGACATCCATGTTCTGACTCTCAGTTGGTATCTCTTCCAGTGAGGTGTGCTTCCTATAAACAAATTTGGAATTTAATCTCATCAGCTGGTCTGCAACTTGTACTTTTATTATTTATTTTGAGGCATGTTTCCACTACATAGCTCTGTTTAGTCAGGAGCTTGTTAGGCAGGCCAGGCTAATTTCTAACTCAGATGTCTACCTGCCTTCTGCCATCTGAGGGCTAAGATGAAAGCATGCAGCAGCACACCCAAATGACCTGTGTCTGTTAATGGTGCCTCTCTCTAGTTATAGATATTATGGAAAGGCAGGTACTTGGCAGTTTTGTTAACTGGTTCTGGTGGGGTGGATTAGTGCTAGTTCTTCTCTTTTCCCTATTCATATTAGGGCTTGTTTACTGTGCCAGGAATGGAGGGTTTTCTCATGTTCATCTCTTCTCTCATGAGATGTATTCTTTCCTGTGCTCACATGACTGACTTTCTTCTTGATTGTACAGTACTCCTTGAGTGTTTTCCTCAGGGCTAGCTTGGTGATCATGAATTGCCTGTTTGTGCATTATGTTGAAAGATCCTCATTTCTCCATCAGAGTTAAAAGATAGCTTTATCATATGTCTTGGTTGGCAGCTATTTACTTTTATGGCTTAAACTATAGCCATGTTTTCTGGGTCTTGAGCTGTGAGACATGTGATGTTATTTTCAGGTGCCTGTCTTTATACGTTAGCTGTAAGGGTTTTTGTTGTTGTTGTTGAAGTCATTTTTAAAAGTGTGTATGTACATCTGAGTACATGTGTGTGAATATGTATGCTATTGAAGGAGTGTGGAGGTCAGAGGACAACTCGAGGGAATTGTTTGCATCTTGCAGCATGTACGTACTGAGGACCAACCAAAAGTCATCAAGCATGCTGGCAGGCAGCTTTGCCAGCTGAGCCCTCTTACCAGACCCTTCATCATAGCTTTTAATAGTGTTTCTCCGCTTTGCATTTTTGACAATATTTTTATTAGCATCATTAATTAATATATAATAACGGGATTCATTATGCCTTTTTACATCTTGACTATGATTTGCCATGAAAAGGTTCTTTTCTGGTCAAGTCTATTTGAAGTTATAAATGCCTTTATGATTAGAGTTCCATTTCCATGCCAGCCTCAGAGACAGCTTCTAGCCTATTATCTTACCTAAAGTCCCAATGCTCTCAGAACTGAAGAACATGACTGACAATAGTTAAGCTTTACTTAGTTTCAGATCTTTGAACATATGTGATATTATTAGAAAAACAATATTATGGTTCTTTTTATGCTTAACACAGGATTGTTATCATTTAGAAAGTATCTGTGCAAAATTTGCTTTTATCCTCACTATCCACAGAAGCACAATTTAATCTGTAGTTTGAGGGTATTTCCAGATGACTTTGAACATTACCTCTGTCCTCCATTGATGAGAGAAGTGACTGCCCGTGCAGGAGTTACATTATTAACCATAGCTTTCAATGCCTTGTCAACGTCTTCCCTTATGAATGTATTCGATTCTCCAGACTTGTGCAACAAAGCTCTTACTGCAGTATCTAGTTCTTGATCCATGCTCTTTTTCAGGTATGTAAAAAGGTCACCTAAGCACACCACAGCAGCCCGGGACACTCCAGAGCGTAAATTTTTCACCTAAAAAAACAATTATGAAACAGAATTTTTCACATGTTAGAAACTCAGCAATATCACTCTGTAATTCGTCTTTAGCATTTAAACTAAAGTCATCCTGAAACTTACTATGTAGACAATGCTGCCCTTAAACTCACAGAGATCAGCCTGTATTTGCCTCCTCACTGCTGGGATTAAGGCATGCACCAATATGCCTGGTCATGATTATGTATTGTTATATATCCTAAAAAATCAACATCAAATATCTTTTCAAATATTACAAATTAAGTATTCTCTACTTTATATATAAGTACATTCAAATCAGGAAATGTAGAGTTGTCTAAACAATGTGAAAATCAAGTTAAGTGTAATTAATCAGACAATCCTCAATTTATCACAAAGCATTACCTCTTGAACTACTGCAAAGGTTGTTTCATGCAATTTTGTGTTCAACAGGTCGGAATGAAAAGCAGCCAAGCATCGGACAAAATTCAGTCCCTCCATCTTCTTCTCCCTGTGGACATAGAAATGACAAAATCATTTGAAACAGGATTTAGTTAGAACAGAATCTCCAATGTCTTTTTTTTTTCTTGCTTTCTTTTCTATTATTTTTCTTCCTCCTCCTCCTCTTCCTCCTGTTCCTCCTGTTCCTCCTCCTCCTCCTCTTCCTCTTCTTCTTCCTCCTCCTCCCCCTCCTCCCCCTCTTCCTCCTCTTCCTCCTCCTCCTCTTCTTCTCTTTTTTTGGCAATGAGGAAATTATTTTCTTATTTCTTAGCTTATTATTTAGTAATCCCCAAAATAATCTCTCTATAAAATTTTAACAATAAAATCCACCATAACAGTCAAGCTAAGTTATTATTTTTCTCAGTAAAAGTGGCATCTTCTTTCTGGAGACTAGGAGACAAATAAGAAATCAAGCTAAGAAAAGCAGTAAGAGGAAAAGGAAGACAAAGCTACTTGTGAGCTCCCTGGTAAGAAAATGACTCAGAGCAGTGAAAATGAACATAGTGATTTCTATTTATTTATTTATTTATTTATTTGTTTGTTTGTTTGTTTATTTATTGGTTTTTCGAGACAGGGTTTCTCTGTGTAGCCCTGGTTGTCCTGGAACTCACTCTGTAGACCAGGCTGGCCTCAAACTCAGAAATCCGCCTGCCTCTGCCTCCCAAGTGCTGGGATTAAAGGCGTGTGCCACCACCGCCCGGCGAACATAGTGATTTCTATAGTTTGTATTTTTGTCTTTCATTTTCAGACTTAAGGGGTCTGATGAAGGGTAGACGCTAATAAAGGAGGTTGGGACTCAGCTGTTATTTAGGCGTAACATCATAGTTGATGATTTTCATTTCTATGTATAAAGAATGTGAAGTATGAAACAAGTTTAGTTGGTAATACTGCTGGTGTCCACCATGTGTGCACTATGTGTGAGTATGGGCACATACCATGGCATGTATATGGAGGTCAAAGGACAGCCGTTGGGAGTTGGTTCTCTCTACCATGGCTTCTTAGATCCAACTCAGGCTGTCAGGCTTACAATGCTAGCGATTTTACCTGCTGAGCCATCTCACTAGCCTAATTTTGTTGTTGTTTATTGTTGTTGTGGTGGTGGTCTTATTCTAGTCCTGCCTGGCATGTGTATATGTATTATTTGTGTGTACACACATGTGGATATGAGTGGAAAAGCAAGAGATCAAAACTGGGTATCTTCATCAATTACTCTCTAGGTATCCAAACAGGGTACATAGACACTTGACACCGGAGCTTGCCAGTTCAGTTACGTAGCTGCCGTTTGGACCAGGAGCCTCATGTATCTCATGACTTCTGAGCACTGGAATTGTGGTGGGCATTTATGTAAATGCGTGAGGATTCAAATTCTGATTCTCATTTTTGCAGGGCAGGTATTTTATCCACGGTATTTTATAGATTTCCTCAATCTATATTTTCAGTGCTTTTATTACTTTTTATATTGCCTTCAGATTTATCACTCTTTTCTTCTACCATGTCTAGTCATCAGTTAATTCCATTCAGTATATCTGTCATCTCAAAAAGTAAAATTTTCATCTGTACATAATATATCTGTGTTTTTAAAAATATTTTAAGTCTTCGGCTTCACATATGGACTACAGTTATAATAGTTATGTTTGCAAAATTTATTATGTGTCATTTTCATATTAATTAAAATTGTTTGTTTTATATCTTCTTAGACCTCTATTTTCCTTCTGTTTTTGTCAAGCTTTACATCCCCAAGGCTCAGGGAGCAGTATAGAAGAGGGAGCAAGAAAAACAAAACAAAACAAAACAAAAACTATGAGCCAGAGGATCAAGAAGTCTGCTGAGCAATTGTGCCTGCCAGGAACGTCAGCAGCTATCCCCAGAGAGTCTCACTGATCTGACTACCTAAGCATGAGCTGAAGACAGATAAGAACAACAACAAGAACAGAAATGTTAGGCCTCAGGCTCCCCATGTGTCTAGACACCAGCTCCAGCTGAACTCTGCTCACCCTCCTTCACGTACATGACTTGTCTCCCTGCGCTTTCTCACTATGCTCTCTCTTGCTCTCTCCACTCTTCCACTTCCCAAGCCCTGGCTATGTCCAGTCTGCTTTCCTTTCTGCCCTGGGCTCTTTCAGATGCTCCTGGATCTTTACTCTCTCTTACCAACAATAAGAACCTTCCCCAAATAGAGTGGTCCTGTCAGTAGTTTCTTTACTGTGGTCCCTTGCAAACACTAAGGTGGATGAGCCTAAGGTGGATGGAGAGAAGTTCACGGAGTCCAGAAGAGGGTGTCAGATCCTGTGGAGCTGTAGGTACAGATGACTGAGCCACAACATGGATACTGGGAATCATAATCAGGTCCTCTGCAATGGCAACACGTGTTCTAAATCACTGAGCCACCTCTCCAGCCTTAGACAGTTGTAAATTCATATATTCTATTGTCTTCTTGCTTGTGGGTTTGCGGTGGTGGGGAAAGACAAGGTATTATATAGCCCATGCTGGCTCAAACTCACTATGCAGTAGAGTCTGGCTCCCTGCTGCCACTTCTCAGGCGCTCTGATTGTAAGTGTACAGTATCTCAAGCTATCTAATATACAACAGCAGAGTTGAGAGCTCACAACAGAGATATCTGCCATCTAAAATATATACTCTCTGGTGATTTACAGAAGATAGTTGCCAAGGAAAGACTACCCCTGATATATAAAATGAATGTAGCTTGGAGAACACCAGAGGACTGAATTGCACAGTACTCCTAAAACAGAATAAAAGAATCAGAAAGCACTACAGTAAGAAAAAAACCCAACAGGCAGACCTTTCTAAGGCAAAGTGAATTTACCAAGACAACAAAAAAATATAGAGTAGATTTAACAAAATAGTGACTATAGTGTTAGTGATGTGAGTCCTAACTGAAAGACAATTAAAGGAGGTTAAGAAGTAGACAGGAGGTAAAACTGTAGAGACGAAGACTCACTTTTTTTTTTTTAGAACATTTAGTTTAAAGGGGAGGAGGTAGAAATGGGCAATGCGTACAGTATAGTAAGATTTTAAAATAGAAGACATACATTATAACACTATTTTTTTTTTAGTACTGGGGCTCAATCTAAGGGCTCAGGGCATGTGTGTGACCAGTGAGTAAGACCCCGAGCTCAACGGCACAGTTTGATGTTGATGCACAGAGTCTGGCAGAGGAGGACTGAAGATGAGGTTTACAACTGGACTGTAAGCTATTTGAGGGGATCCAGGAGAATATGAGGAAAAAAAATGCTACCAGATGCTCCAGCTGAAACCCTGCCAAGTATTTACAGAATTTGGGATCCCCTCAAACCCTCCAAGACAGGGTTTCTCTGTCTTGACTTGTCCCAGCTGTTCTAGAACTCACTCTTAGACCAGGCTGGCCGGAAACTCAGAGATCCACATGCTTCTGCCTCCTGAGTGCTGGGATTAAAATCCTGATGCTGTAGTTGTTTCTAAAATTGCTTGTTATACGTTAAATTTCAAGTTAATTATGAGATGTATAGTCCAATACCAAAGGTTTTACATAACATAATGAAGCGGAACTATGCCCTTATGACATAGAAGTTAAAACATAATTGCTAATACATCTGGGCCAGAGGTAGCTACATTAATATATTCAAAAGGCTCAGATGCCTAAGAACTAAAATAATCTTCAGTGACACTATGAAGAATATTAGGAAGGGTTGCTAGCTTACCAATCCTCATCAGCTAAAAGCCGTAAGGCTTCTGTAAGTGCTATTTCTGGTTTGGAAAATGGCCGTAGTTCTAATGAATCCATTATCTCTGGACTGTAAGTGACAGAAGACATTCTTTCTTTATATTGTGGGATGACTCCAGGAGATGGTTCATCTAAAACAAAACATTAAGTAAGTCAAGAATAAACCTTTACATAAAGGATACAAGCACATTTAACTATATGTGTTCTATGAGTATTTTCTCATATAACATAAGCATAAGTTTATTATTAAACAGACAAAAACTTTGCAGTAAGTATAAATCACATGTATTTAAAAGTGTATCTTTTTGTTTTGTTTTGTTTTTTTGAGACAGGGTTTCTCTGTGTAGCCCTGGCTGTCCTGGAACTCACTCTGTAGACTAGGCTGGCCTCGAACTCAGAAATCCGCCTGCCTCTGCCTCCCAAGTGCTGGGATTATAAAGGCATGCATCACCACTGCCTGGCAAAGTGTATCTTTTATATTAATTTTCCATACAAAATAATAGCTGTATAAAGTATAGATCCAAGTTACAAGAAAATGCTGAAATATACCAATTAGAATATTTGAGAAAGCAAGACTATTTGACGAACTAAAACTGAGAGAGCCACTGAGTTGCAATAACAACATATAGAGATTAGTACACATTCAAATTATTAACATATTCAGTGTAATAAAAATGTTTCTAACCCTGAACTACAAGCTGACCTAGGGTTTTTGTTGTTACTGTTTTGGGTTTGATTATTTTAGGAGCTATTACAAATCTTGAAACCAATCATGGTTGATCAATTATTTATTCTACATAGTGAACTTATTAAAGCATCCCTTCACAGAAAGAGTTTCCACTTTCTCTTCAATGACTCTGAGGCTACACCATGCATGTGCACCACACTGTGACTGTGAGCAGCCTTCTTCAGACGGTCTATTCCAGCTTCTGTACCCCTTCCAGAACAGAGCCATCTCCTGGTGGTGGTGATTTTTGGTCTTAGGATTTGCTCTTAGGAGTCTGTCACTTTTGACAGATACATGCTTAGAGCACAGAAGCTGTTTGACTGAGGCTGAGATAGCTAAAAAACTATAGCTTTAAGAACAAAAGGAGAGGAGTAGACAGCAGGAAATAGTCAAACTCAGGACTAAAATCAACCAAGTAGAAACAAAGAAAACAATACAAAGAATCAACAAAATCAGGAGCTGGTTCTTTGAGAAAATCAACAAGATAGATAAACCCTTAGCCAGACAAACCAGAGGGTACAGAGACAGTATCCAAACTAAAAAAATCAGAACTGAAAAGGGAGACATAACAGCAGAAATTGAGGAAATTAAAAATATCATCAAATCCTACTACAAAAGCTTATACTCAAGAAAACTGGAAAATCTAGATGAAATGGATGATTTTCTAGACAGATACCAGGTACCAAAGTTAAATCAGGATCAGATAAACCATGTAAACAGTCCCATAACCCCCACGGAAATAGAAGCAGTCATTAAAAGTCTCCCAACCAAAAAAAAAAAAAGCCCAGGATCAGATGGTTTTAGTATAGAATTCTATCAGACTTTCAAAAAAGACCTAACACCAATACACCTCAAACTATTTTACAAAATAGAAACAGAAGGAACATGACTTAATTCATTCTATGAAACCATAGTTAACACTGATACCTAAAGCACACAAGGATCCAACAAAAAAAGAGAACTTCAGACCAATTTCGCTTATGAGTATTGATGAAAAAATACTCAATACAATTCCCACAAACCTAATCCAAGAACACATCAAAAACATCATTCACCACGATCATCTCAGGGATCCAGGGTTGGTTCAATATATGAAAATACATTAATGTCATCTACTATATAACAAACTAAAGGAAAAAAATCACAGGCATCTCCTAGGATGCTGAAAAAGCATTTGGCAAAATACAACACCCCTTCATATTAAAAATATTGGAGAGATTAAGAATTCAAGGCCCCTATCTAAATATAATAAAAGCAATATACAGCAAGCAAACCAACAGTTAGTATCAAATTAAATGGAGAGATACTTGAAGCAATCTTACTAAAATCAGGAACAGGACAAGGCTACCCACTCTCCTGATATCTATCTATTCAATATAGTACTCAAAGTTCTAGCTAGAGTAATAAGACAACAAAAGGAGAGCAAGGGGATACAAAATAGGCAAAGAAGAAGTCAAGGTATCACTATTTGCAGATGATATGATAATACAGATAATCGACCCGAAAACTTCAACCAGAGAAGTCCTACAGCTGATAAACAACTCCAGCAAAGTGGCTGGATATAAAATTAACTCAAATAGATCAGTAGCCTTACATTATATGAATGATACATGGGCTGAGTAATAAATTAGGGAAAGAACATCCTTCACAATAGTCACAAAAAATATCTTGGTGTGACTCTAACCAAACAAGTGAAAGATCTGTACCACAAGAACTTCAAGTCTGTCAAGAAAAAAATAAAGAGGACCTCAGAAAATGGAGAGCTATCCCAAGCTCATGGATTGGTAGAATTAGCATGGTGAAAATGGCCATCCAATCAAACACAATCTACAGATTCAACGCAATCCCCATCAAAATTCCAATACAATTCTTCAAAGACATGGAAAGAACAATTTTTGACCTCTCTGGCATGGGGGGGGGGTGGTGGTAGAAGAGGGCGGGGTGAAGATTTCCTAAACAAAACTCCAGTGGGCCAGGCTCTAAGATTAAGAATTGATAAATGGAACCTCATGAAACTGAAAAGCTTATATACAGCAAAGGATATAGTCAATAAGACAAATCAGCAAATTGGGAAAAAAATCTTTACTAACCCCACATCCAATAGAGGGTTAATATCCAAAATATATAAAGAACTCAAGGAGCTAGCCTCCAAAAAACCAAACAACCCAATCAAACAATGGGATATAGAACTAAACTGAGGATTCACAACAGAGGAATCATGAACGGCCAAGAAGCACTTAAAGTATGGGGAGGTCTGGGGGGTGAGGATGAGGACATCCTTTTGGAGACGCAGTTTGGGGGGAAAGGAGGAATGGGAGGGGAACAGTTGGAGGGCGGACTAGAAGGGGGATAATGACTGGATTGTAAAAAAATATTAAAGAATAATAATAAAAAAAGGGAAAAATAAGCCGGGCAGTGGTGGTGCACGCCTTTAATCCCAGCACTTGGGAGCCAGAGGCAGGCGGATTTCTGAGTTCGAGGCCAGCCTGGTCTACAGAGTGAGTTCCAGGACAGCCAGGGCTAGGTACACAGAGAAACCCTGTTTTGAAAAACCATAACAAAAAAAAAAGAAAAAAGGGGAAAAATAGAACAAAAGGAATCAATGTGGTCTAATTTCTAAAAACTGTGTGTATATATACTTATTTTACTATACATCTATTAATTTAAAAATAAAGAACATTGATCTCTATAGAGACAACTATAATACAGATTTTTTTCTATTGACACATAATATTTTTATTAATTTATTCTTTTGACAACTTTACACATGTATGTAAAATATTGTGATATCACAATTCATCCACCCTCTCTTCTCTCCCTACCCACATTCTATCAATATAGAATTAATGACTATTATAAATCTGAAGTCCATGTGTAGCAATATGAATGTGCTTTTTCCATAATCAGGTATTTATCAGACATTTTCAAGGCACTATCTAAGACACTGGGAAAACATTTTCTCCCAATAATGCCTTGAGAGCGCTGCACAATATAAGACTATGTATTAGAAAGGGGGAAAAAAACCAACCAACCAAACAAACAAAGAATGGGCCTTTGTGAGAAAAAAAATCAATTGGTTCTCTTTTTATTTAACAATTTTTAAAAAGAAATTATTAGGGACTAGAAAATAATTATCATAAAAGATTATTAACCATGATATTGGTAAGAAAATCTTAAAATCACAAGAAGAAGAACTTTCATTTGATGTTGTTCACTAATTATACATAAAAATGTTTCAAAAATTGAAACTAAAGGTTTTACAGATTCTTTATTTCTTTAGCTTTAGTTTATCTGGTGTTATTACATGAGTCCATGTGGGTGTCTGTAGAAGATAAGAAAAAACAAAGGTGGATGAGGCCACCTGACACAAGTACTAAGAGACAGAAACAGTACATCCCATGGTCGGAAGACGATGCCAAACAACAACAACAAACCCACTTCAATTAGCTTTTCTGGTTCAGACCTACCTTTCATTGGGCATCATTAATGTACACACACACACATCTAGCTTTGAAGTATTACAACCAAAAAAGAACTGTATATAAACCAAGGCAGCACACACTTTGACTCTCAGTATTTAGGAGGTAGGGACAGAATGGTCTGGAGTCATCTGAGGCTACACAGTGTGTTTAAGGCAAGCCTATGTGACACAAAATCTTATCTTAAAAACACTACCACCCATGCTCCACTGGGCAGAGCCCCAATCTTATGCACATATGGGCCTACTAACAGGGCTTCGTGGATCAAAGAAAAGGACATGCAGTTGTGTAGTATACCCAAGATCTATTCATTGCTCTTAAAGACAGCCCAGGAGATGGCTTAGTCATTAAACGATTGACAGGTAAACATTATTTCTATCCCTAGGATCCATGTAAAAAGATGGGCATGGCAACACAGGCCTCTAATCTCAGCAGATGGAAGAAGACAGGGAAAGATCCCTGCAGTTTGTATCCAGCAAGTCTGGTTGATTTTGCAAGCTCCAGGTTCACTGAGAGACTCCAACTCAAAAACTTAGATGCCAACTTATAGCTTCTAAAAACACACACACAGAAGTGCATGAATACAAACAGTTAAGTGCACAAAGCCAAACATGGACACTAGACTGATAGTTCTGGTCATGATCAAACACAAACTGACTTCACTATGTCAATTACCCTAACTATAACAGAAGAGCACTTTTTAGTGAAAAGGGAATAATTTCAGTGAGTATAGAAGGGATTGTTGAGTCAATCTGGATCTGAAAACAATCAGGAGTTTCATATGCTGAACTAAACTGAAGCTAATCCCTGGTCTTAAAGCTAGGCAAAGTCAGAAGCAAACCTTAAGAAGCAGCTCCATGTTGCCCTGTTTCGACAACTGTACTTTAGCAAGCATTCACAAAACAACTTACTCTCGGATGTCATTTTATCAGTTCCTGGATGTTTTATTCGTTCCCAGGGATTTGTCTCTTTCCGTTCACAATCTTTAGTATCAAAAAGTTCTTTTTCTTCTTTTCTTTTTTGTCTCATTTTGTCATAAGTAGATTTTGCAATAGAAACTTTAGTCTGCAAGAAAAAGTTGAAATATCTGGAATAACTCAGGAAGCTTGACTTTTAAAATATCTTTATCTCAGAAAAGTATGAGCAAGCATGGTGAGAAAGAGCAAGTGACCAGGAGAAATACATAAGCACATGAAATGACTCTAGAAAACAAATTATACTCTCTGTTTTGAGACAGAATCATATAGCCCAGGCTGGTCTTTCCCTCTCTATACAGTCCTAATACTTTGAACCTATGATTTTCCTGCCTCTTCCTCTTCACGTGCTAAGATTATAATTGATCTTGGACCAACTAAGTGTTTTTTAATTCTTATTTTACAACTCCTAAAAGCTGAAAGAATTATATAGTACTAATACTTAAGTAAATCCATGTTTAAGGATAGCAATCTGTCAGTGTTTGAAAATACCCCACAAACTGTTGAATATATACACGTGCACAACCATATTATATAAACCATGAGCACGGCATAAAAGCAAACTATATATCACAAATTTAAGTGATTAAAAATCAAAATTTCAATTACCTAAAATATTAAAAATATAAATCAAGGTGTTGGGGAGACAGTTCTGTGTATCAAGAGTATACTGTTCAAGTTTGCTGAACTTAAAACAGTAGAACACAAATAGAGCCAGGTATAGTGGTATACTTCTAGCTCTTCTACAAGAGTGAAGATGGAAACAGTAGAATTCCCAGAAAGTTTGTACAGCAACTAGCCTGACTTACGCAGTATAGTGATGGAGATGTTCCTTCAAACAAGGTGCAAGTAGTGGACCAACACACAAAGTTGTGTTCTCACTTCCACACAAACACACACACACGCGCACACACACATGCACACATGCACGCACAATGCCCCCCCCCACACCCACACATGCATGCACATACAGGAATACACAGACAAGTTCAAAATAAATGTAAAGTTCTTAATTAAATGAAGTTTGCCACCCCATATCTTATATAAACTACATTTTGAGCTATTATAGCTAAAGATTAATAGATAATCTTACATCTTTGTCATTTTCAACATCAAGATATAGTGGAATATTATGCTGGACTGCTCTTCCATAAATCCCTGATGGTGGTTCAATGCTTGGTTTCACTGAAAATGTATCCTCATTTTCCACAGAGGATATCACTGGCTGGTTGCAAGTTGTTGGTACTGAATTTGGATTTCCAAATACACCTGCAATCAAACCATCAGTTACTGTTTATGTTTAGCACTCCAGATAACAAATTTTAATATCATATATTTCATTCAAAAAACAAACAGTACACTGTCAAACACACGTTAAATACTCATGAAATGTACAAGCAAATATCCTAATCAGACAAGAAGATAGTTGTTTCTGAAAATGTAGGTGAAAATCACATATTTAAGTGAGGTTCATGGGAAGACTCAGAAAGACTGTTGTGAACTATATATTTAAGATGATTTCTAAGTGTAAAACTTTGAACTGGGATTTGTTTAGATACGCAAGGAAGAAAGGGAAGCATAAATTCTAAAGTAGATTTCCACAGTTTTATGAAAAGTTAGGCCAAAAAAACCCAACAACAAAAAAGCTATGTCCAAAGTATAGTGGTTTGAGTAAAAATGAACCCCATAGGCTTTTACATTTTAATCCTTGGTCACCAGGGAGGAGTACAATTTGAAAAGATGGAACTATGGCTTTGTTGGAGGAAGTGTGTCCCTGTGAGTGTGCACTGAGGTGTCAAAGGCCCATGCCAAGCCTTTTCTTTTCCTGCTGCCTGTGGATCAAGATGTAGAACTCTCAGCTATTTCTTTAGCACAGTGTGTCTGCATGCTGTCATGTTTCCTGGCACATGATACTAGACTAAACCCCTGAAACTGTAAGCCAGTCCCAATGACATGTTTTCTTTTACAAGAGTTGCTGTGGTCATCGTGTCATCAGAGGATCAGACATAGACAAAGTCACAACAGAAACTGAAGTTACAGACAATAAATCTACATGAATATTCTAGAGATAATTTGAGGAGTCTTCAATGAGATTATCAAATTAAGTATTTCCAAAAAATTCTGTTTCATAATACTTAACAAAAAGATGCCTCCTTGCTGTGTATCCTCCTTGCTGTGTATCTTACCCGTCTTCGTTTCAGCTCGGAAAGAACTAAGGCGCACTGGCACTCGCATTCACCTTCCTCTGCTTTCTGACTGCACACACAACGCAAGTATGAAGCACTGACTACAAATATTACAGATATTACCCCAACTGGCAGCAGAACTCGGCAGCACAATCCATATGGATATTTTTCAAATAGACAAAAGTTAAATGGTCACAGAAATTTATGTCAAGGTTCTAGAAGATTATGGAGTCTGGGCAATGTATGAGAGGAACAGTTTCTATGCAAGGGGGATCTTGAGAGGCTACTGAATGAAACTGTGTCCGTAACAGTCTCAGTCTCAGGCATTTGAACACTTGGTCCCCACTTGTTGATGTTATGTGGAGGTGTGGCCTTGCTGGAGAAGCATGCCACTGGGAGGGCCAGCTTTGAGAGTTTATAGCCTCGCTCTACTTCCAGTTTGCCCTCTCTGCTTCCTCCTCCTACCACCATGCCTATCACCTGTTGTCATGCCTCCCTACCATGATGGGATAGTATCTTCCATGGCCTCTACTTCAGTTTTTGACTCTAGGTTCCTCCTTAAGGTCCTGCCTTGGCTTCCCTTCCCGATGGACTGTAAACTGTAAGCCACAGAGATCCTTTCTTTTCTCAAATCAGTTTTACCACAGCAACAGATACCATTGGACAAGCTCTAAACATGAAGCCTAATTTGTAATGCAGACCTCAGTAGATAACGATCCCAGGACCATGGGATGTTTTTGAGGGAAACTTCATGCGCAGAGTGGAGCCGGCTCACGAAGAGGGCAATGTGCTGCAGACGGTGGAGCTGGGAGACCAGGGCCACTCAGAGCCAATGAACCCGAAACGGTGATCACAAGGCACATGGTTATAGGTTTGGCAGCAGTGCTGTTGAGTTTCTGTCTTGCTTTGGTCTGATCTTTCCTTGGCTTTATTCCTCCTTTTTGAAATGGGCATGTTTACTTTGTGTCACTGTATACTGAAGTATGCAACTTTGTTTTACTTTATTTTAAAATTTATTTTATCTTATTGGGGTTCGTGCTATAAGACAGCCTTCAGTCTCAAGAAATTCTGGACTTTTTAATGGTGGGACTATGGAAAGTTTTGAAGTTGGAAAAAATACATTTTTTCCATGATCATGAACCGTGGGGCCAAAGGTAGAATGTTATGATTTAAAGTGATGTGTTTGAACATCAGACTGACAAGAGGTGTAGACTTGTGATAATAAATCTACTTGACTGGAATTAAGGTCATCTGAGGAACAGCACCTGTGGGTTAGGCAAGGAGGACATTCCCAGAGAAGCTGACTGAGGGGTGATGCTCCTTGAAGGTGAGTGGGGTGGGGTCCTACACTCAACAGAAAGCAGGAACTAAGCTGGATGTTTATCTCTCTGCTCCTTACTGCAAATGCAGGGTGACCAGCTACTGGGCAGCCATTATGACTTCCCCACTGCAATGCACTCTATTCCCTTAAATCCTGGGCTAAGTCACACTTCTTATCTCTCAAGTTGTTTTTTATAAGGTATCTGGTTACAGTCATGAGAAAAATAAGTGAGAAAGCATTTAAGAAAAAGAATATTTAAAGATACTTAAAGTAATTATCCTACTTGAAGGTCCTCTTACATCTCTAAAATACATAACATGGGTTCATTTTGATTTATTAGAAACAATAAATTTTATATTAAATTATATTATTGCAATTTGACTTTAAATCATAATAAAATTTTTACAATTACCTTAGAACTGTCTTAGAAATATCCAACTACTTTTTGAGAGTTACTAACAATAACAACCCATAATTTTATTCAAGGGCAGAAATATGGATTTAAGCATTCATTTTTAATTATTTAATATTGACAAAATTTGTTTATGTGTAAAGAATGCATAAATTAATAGGCTAGATAACTTTGAAATACCTTTTCCAACAACTACTACTGAGTCTTCTGATAAAGTATTTGTAGATGTGAAGTCAAAACTGGAAATCTGCTGTAAATTTGATGACCTAGTAAATCCTAAAACAAAGAAAAAAAAAAAGAAGGGGAGAGAAAAAAAAACACATTTAAAAACACCACGGTACATTTTAGAACATGTGGCCTTTAAAAATTGAAAATTTATTTCATAAAAATTACAGATGAATTAACTCAATGAATATTTAAAATCAGAATACTTGCTATATATACATTAGCTACCACAGAGAACAACAACAGTAATACCTTCCTTCCTTCCTTCCTTCCTTTAAGGAGTTTACATAGGCTAGGGTTGAAGATGAAACAGACAACGATGGAGCTGTACACAGACTTGTACATGATCATCAAGAGCTAAGCAATCAGAGTGAAGGCAGCAGTTCATACCAAAAGGAGACTAGGGCAGTCTCCAGAACACTGCCCTCTCCTGGGCCGCTGAGGTCGGGTCACTTCCCCAGTTTACTGCAGGTAATACACAGCCTAGCGTTCCTGACGCCTCCCTGTCTATGACTTCAGATGATTAGAAATGATGAAGGACAGAAGTCCCCACTCCCCCTTTTGCTTTGTGTCATTCTTGAAGCAGAGTCTTGCTATGTAACCCAGAGAGGCCTCAAATGCACAAACCTCTTGCCTCTACCTCCTGAGTCTTGAGACTGCAGGTATGCACCACTATGTCTAGCTAAAATGCTCATCTTATCAGCTCCACAGTTGTCACATGCCCCCAACCCCCAAAAGGCAGCTCTTTACTTATTGAAACTCACAATGTACACCAGGCTGGCCTTAAACTCATGGTAACACTCCGGTCAGGGCACAAGCTCCCAAGTACTGAGACTATAAGACAGTACTACCACCTAGCTAAAGACATTGCTTTAAGGGCATCTAGCACAGAACAACTTAGGAAATGGACAAAGCACTCACCCGCAGTACTGATCACTATTGCAATTTAAAAATATAACAGTTACAGTGGCTAGTGACAACAGAGAAGTTCTACCTAGCAGAAGGAAGGTACATTCCTGCTGCCACATCTTAGGTGCATGGTTACCGCCTATATACACAACTTACATGATTTTCTTACTATATCTGAGTGATGAAATGCCTTATAAAAAAAGTTGTTAGTATGTATGCACCTGTACATGTTCTTAGGGTAAAGCCCAGCATGAAGTCCTAGTTTTAGCCAATGTTTACTCTTTTGCATTGGCTCCTTTAGACAAGAGCATAGACAATAAACCTAAATAACCTATCAGTAGAATGGTAAGTTAAAAATCTTAAAGTTAAGAGTTCTAAGTATTATTTTTTCTTGGTATGCTTAGAGAAGATTCTGACTTAGAGATATTGAATATTAAAAATTTAATTTGTCATGAAATTTACAAACCTTTTGTATGCTTATGTCTTGGGTGTTCCTTATTTTGTATTTTTAAAGCACTAGGTGAAATGTCATGTGACCTATCATCTTCAAAATCACCACATCCAAACCCATAGTTCATACGTTGACCAATTATGCTTACACTGGATGTTGTTATCCCTATAAAATAAAATAATATTTATTTAAATAATTTGGTAATATTTCACAATAGGTACATACCTCTCCTCTAAATCTATTTTGCTAAATACCTTTTTAAAAAGATTAGCAATATAATATTAGAAATTATGTTAGTAATTTTTAAAGTTTCACTATATTTTAAGCTATGTAACTTTCAGTGAAATAAATACTATAATGTTTGAAAAAGTTAATTAAATAATTGTATGTTAAACGTCATGTAGTGGTGCATACCTGTAATCCTAGCATCCAAGAACTAGAGATAGAAGGATCACAAGTCTGAGGTCAGCCTAGGCTACATAAAAAGTTCAATCACAACTAGGGCTACAAAAAATGAATTAAGAACTTAACCAATTAAATTAATAAATGAAATCCTTAAATTTTCACAAAAAAAGGAAGAAATTCAAATGTTATAGCAATGGCTAATTTTATATAAGAAAGAAAGAAAGGAAGGAAGGAAGGAAGGAAGGAAGGAAGGAAGGAAGGAAGGAAGGAAGGAAAAAAGAAAAAATCCAAATGTTAAAAGAGAGGAATAAAGGGGTCTACGTTCTTTACTCCTTTCTCTCGTGCTCCCATGTGATTAGTGTGCACTGGTCTGCCTGATGATTCAGACACTTCACATGAGTAAGAGCTCTGTACCTGGAATCATGCTCAACAGACTGTAGATTTCTGCCCTGCAACTTAACTGCTGAGAGATCCTGGTAATGTATGTAAAATGTATGTAAAATTGGAAGAAGAGTAAAAACTTTCCCAGAACTATCACATAAGTTAAATGCAGGAAAATGAATGCTAGGTATAGTGGTATGTGCTGAAAAATTTCTAGAGCCTAGGTTGCCAAAACAGGAGAAACACCATGAGTTTGAAGCTAGCACGGGCTATATACAGAAAGCTTAAGGATAGCCTGGTCTACACAATGAGGCCTTGATTTATATATCCCCTCTCTCTGGGGCTGGGGGTGGGGCAAATACACATAAAGAACTTAATATACTGCCTAGTACATTGCAAATACTCAAACAATATTATATATCTAGCCGGGCGGTGGTGGTGCACGCCTTTAATCCCAGCACTTGGGAGGCAGAGGCAGGTGGATTTCTGAGTTCGAGGCCAGCCTGGTCTACAGAGTGAGTTCCAGGACAGCCAGAGCTACACAGAGAAATCCTGTCTCGAAAAACAAAAACAAAAAAAAACAAAAAACAAAAAACAAAAAACAAAAAAAATATTATATCTCTAAAAAAATAAAATATAACAGTATTGTTTTTATGCCCCTTTAACAAGTAGCAAAAAATGAACTACTTGTTAATCTACATTTGAATGTCTAAATCGTCTATACTACACTATACTATACTTTACCACTACTGGAGCTACAAAATGTTTACTAAATAAAAATTCCTATTCAGTATTTTTGTATCCCTGCCCACATTTATACATATTTCCAATGTAGAACAGCAAGCAATAATATACTTCATTTTTAAATAATGCAATACTTGGGGCTGAAGAGATGGCTCAACAGTTAAGGGCAGTGAGTGGTCTTCCAAAAAACCAGGGTTCAGTTCCCAGCAACCACATAGTAGCTGACAATGTTTATAACTCCAGTTCCTGGGGATCTGACACATTCACAAAGACCTACATGCAGGCAGAACACCAGTACACATAAAGCAAAAATAAATCATAAATAATGTAATAAATAAACAAATAGCTGGAAAAGTGCTGGCTGTTGAAAGCTGAGCTAGGGAGAACAGGAGATACAAGCAAAGAACTGCTTACATGAATATGGCCCTAGGTTAGATCCCCAGTTCCACATAAGACTGGCACAGCAGCACGTCAATAATCCCTGAACTTGTGAGGTAAAGAGGATCAGACGTTCAATGCCACACAGTAAGTCAAGACCACCGGGCTACATGAGACTTTCTTTCAAAAAACTAAAACAAAAATTTCATTTTAAATGATAATAATCTTCCAGAAGAAACCGAATTTTAAAATTTTTAGTTTTAACAGTTAATCTAGATATTAGACATTAGTAGAATATATTGGCTTTAGGTAGAAATGTTTCTACCAATACTTGGCACTAATGGTATTGGAAAGTAATTTAGGAAATTCAGTATTATTTACAGTAAAGGATAAAATATACAAGGAAAGATTCCCTGGAAACACTGCAGTAAAGGCATGCTGTCTCATCAACTTTATACCATGTCTGGATTTAACGTCACACAGTCTCTATTATGATCAGTATCCTTTTCATGTTGTACAATAAATCACTTACTGATGACAAAGCAAACTCAAATGAAAATGATCCTAAACATGACCAATTTAATAGTTTGATAGACTGTTAAACTTATCAAGGATATCTTATATTAAACCCAGTAACAACAGTGTTTCTCAAGTTTGTTACTAGAAATCCCCAAGATTTGATAAGAGTACTGATTTCTCCTCATAAACAGGCGTACACTAGGTATGAGGTGTGGACTCAGAATCTATGCACATATAAAAATTAAGTATGTATTGAAATTACCAAATATTTGTTAATTTTAGAGAAACACATTATACATAGTGGTAGGTATTATTATAATCAATTGCTGATTGATATAAATACCACCTAAGTTCACAAGAGTAGCAGCAGAAAGGAACTCAAATCCAGTCTTTAAGTCAGTTATTTTTCCAATCCTAAAGTAAACTTAGAGTTCCTTTTACAACTAGATTCAATCGAGGAGTCAGCTCCCTCTTCAACCCTGTACAAATATGTTTAAAGTGATAAATAATGTTAGGATGCTCAAAATTAAAAAAGATTAAAGAAATAGTTTAGGAATGTCTTTATGTCCCTCCCTGTAGTCATATATACTAGTGAAAGCCCATCAGGGACTTTATATGTGCTGTATGCTTAAGGTTTCATCACTCTTTTCCAGCTCTTTATTATTAGATTGAGAAACAAAGTTTCAAAGTAGTTAATTTGTACATGGTGTGACTATTATTATAAATTAATTTGGAGTTAAAGTGGTGGTCTTTAACACACTAAAGCTAGGAAAAAATGACTCTGTATATTGAATATATATCTCAATGTTGAATATTACTTTTGCAAGTTAGAAAGCCAAACACACTCATTTAAGTCAAGGATTCAAGATTAGGACAGGTACTTGGCAATTAACTGAGGAAAACAATCACTAGAAACCAAGAATCTGAGGGCTTCCTAGACTCAGTGGCACACGCTTGTAACCTCAGCATTCAGGAGACTAAGGGAGGGGTACTGCCAGTTCTAGTCAGTGTTACATAAAATAATACTAAAAAGAATTTGAGAGCCAAAGAAAAAAACATATAATTACAGTAGCATAAATTAGTGGCTCAGTAGTAGAGCACTTGCCTAGTATGTACATGGCCACATAAGACACCAAACACATACGCAATAATCTTATCTGCAACACATTATATAAAACATAAAAGAGTATCCAAAAAAGGTTAGTTATCAATACTGTCTGTGAAACAGAGAAAGCAACTGAGCCAGAGGGCGGGATGGGTATACATTTCATTCACAAGAAATCTGAGCAAATGCTAAAGGACAGAAAGTGGACTAAGTGTGCTCTGAGTCTAACTGGCTAAATGACTGAGTCAAGGGGTCTGATAAAAAGAAAGGAAAAAGGGGTAAAAATTAACTGGGAAAAGTCAGCAGGAGCCAGATCGTTGAAAAATGGCCACTAGAGTCAGTTTACAATGGGAAATGGGTTATGAACCAGACAGAAACTGTGCAGCTATGCAGGCTTACCAGGGAAGAAATGAGGAATTGTGAAAGAAAGCTGTGGTGATGGGATTAAAAAGGATAAAACTAAAACACATCTAAAAACAAAAGGGTAATTATGTTATAAATAATCATATACAGGTATTATAATGTAAATTACCTCTAAAACTGTTAGGAGTTTTTACATTGAAATCATATGAAAATATAGCCTAGTTTGGTATAATTTAACCACGATTCAATATAGTTTTACTAATCATCAAGAAAAGTCATACCTAGGTTCTAGAGTGTAAATATTTTTCAAAATGATAACTAATTTCTAAAGGTATTCTTTGAGAAGTAATAATCTCAGGTTCAGAAAACTAACAAGGGCATACAAACATATTTATTAGTTCATGTATATACACGAACAAATAATAGTTAACTAGTGTCAGCTAGTAATAACTTGATGAATATATTTTTTGTCATCTTGTGATACTTGTGTTCTCAAACTATTATATATTAAAATTATGAAGGGAGCTCTCAAAATTCTGATAGTCAGGTCTCAATGCATACCGATTAAACAAAATATCTCACAGAGGAATCTGCCACATCAAGACCAATGACTGAGTCAAGTAAATATTTTTTTCCCAATCAAAGCCATGTTACCCTCATTAGAGTAGCTTTTTGATGAGTTATGATTAGTTACAAACTGTTAAGTATAAAAAAATCTAAGATATATTTGTTATCTTTTTTATATTATTAAAACAGTCATATTCTTTATAAAGCATATTCATAAAACATAGAATACCTATACTGGAACTCTGTTCAGCAGCATGGGAGATTTTCGTTGCAGAAGAAAGTCTTGTTGAACAAGGTTTTGATCCAAATGTTGGAAATATGTCTGACCTAATGAAACAAAGTAATTTCAATCAACATTTACAATTCAGAACTGTGATACACACATATCACTTATTGTATATTCTTTTCCTTTACTTATTAGGAGTCTAGGTAAACATGAAAACAGGAATGAAAATATATGGCTAAAAATATTTGTTGTTGTTTGTGTGGCGTCATTTTCTTTTGACTTTGAGACTAAGTCTCACTATGTAGTCTTGGCTGTCCTTCAATTCACTATCAAGACTCATAAAGAGCTATTTATAGCTGTCTCCCAAGCGATGGGATTAAATTTGTATATGACCATGCCTAGACCAGGTAAATACTTTTTACTGCCTGGACCATAAAGAACTAAGTTATCTAAATTATCTCCTAAGTGACTATAGACATGTAATATACCATTATATAGAGAGAAATAGAGACTGGACTGTGTTACAAACAATAGCAAAAACTGAGTTTTATAAACGTCATTTTCTTCAAACTTTTCTTTGCTCTACCATTCACATATTATAAAGGCCCACAGGTCTTGATTAACAAGAAAGCAAGCCTTCATCACTAAATAATATTAAATCTGGAATGCAAAAAAAATCTAGCTATAATACAATGAGTGACAGACATTTCACAAAGCAACACAATTTACTAACTAGATAACATGTATATTTTCCATTGGTCCTATTAAGAAATCAAATTAAATAATTAAAATTTTCATATTTATTTTGTGTCCATAAATGTATGTGGAGTGCATGTGGTGGTCAGAAACTGTTTCTCTCCTTCCACCATGTGAGTCCTGGAGCTCAGAACTGCGTTATCAGGCTTGGTGTTAAGCACTTTTATTCTGAGAGTCATCTTGATGGTTTGTTTTGAAGCTCTGGAAAGAACCATTTCTCTAGACTACTAGAAATGTAAAATCATACTGAGTATATTTTAGCTAGATGAAAGAAAGATCTTCATTCTACAAGTATGGTTTTAAATCCTGTTTCTCTTTCAACTCACTGAGAGATAACTTGTCTCAGGAAATAGGGATGTCCTTTGCTAATGACTCTCGAGGCAAGATACAAGTTGGTTAAGAATAATTATTCTATACTCAGGAAGCTGAGGCAGGAGAACTCCAAGAGTAAAAGCCATCCTAGACTATATAGCAGCCTGGACAACTTAGCAAAATCATTAAAACAAACAAACAAACAAACAAACAAACAAACAAAGAAACAAAACAAAAAAAAAACCCCAAAACCTAAAAGGGCTGCAGATGTAGTCAGGGATTCCATGCTCGTCCAAGGCCCTATTCAATTCCCGGACCATCCACATTCCCCCAAATGTATCCCAAAGCTGTCAAACTCAAAAATATAGAAATCATACGTTCTTTAAAGGCAATGAGGTCAATCGCATCCGGAAGAGTTCAATACTTGAAGAAAATAACTTAGACATAATCCTAAATGTTGCAAATATAAAATGAACTTTTCTTCCCAATTGGTTTGAAAATTTTAACATTATGTTGCAACTGCAGGAGTTACACCACAAGATTTCAGCTTCTTATAGGATCTAAAAATTACATGTTTAATGTAAGTTATTACTTTGTTAAAGTCATTCTAGATCCATTACATAAATATATCCCAATATTCTATCTAAGTAGGAACAGTGAAGGAATTTCCAGGAATAAAAGGTTTCTGAGTATAAGTTATAATTTAAGTTAAAAATGTGAAAGAGAAAACCATAGGATAAGACAAATTTCTAAAATGAAACATAAAAATTCTGCTAAATTCTATTACTGCTGATATTTAGGCAGTGTCTACTTCCATTTGGGAGAGGTTAATCAAATTGAAGATTAATTTTAAATTTTAAAAATTTACTTCTGATAGCTGTATATTAACAAATAAAGCCAAAGGAAAACAAAAGACTGACATTAAATGTTAGCAAGAATGAGTAACAGTCATAACTTTCACATTACCAGTAGGAGTATAAAGTTATGCCACTACTTAGAAAACTATTTAGCGATTGTTAACTATACATCTATCTACCCACATCATGGCATTTCTACTATTGACTTTCAGTCCCAAATAAAGGGAGAATTACTTCAATGAAGTATTCTGTGACTATGAAGTCACAAAAATGCCCAGAACCCAGGTGAGGTCACTTTTTCAGAGCAGAGGTTTTCTGGGAAAGCAGGTATAAGTTAGCCAGGACTTGAATCCCAGAACTGTTAATGTAGGCAGCCCAAATCCTCACTGGGCTAAATAAATGAGCTAATGGAATCCCAAGCTTTATAAGATAATGGAAATAAAATATAAAAAATAGTGGGGCAACACTGGGTAGAGCCTACCCACAACCCAGAGTGAACGTGTGCTGACCTAGAAATAAAAATAATGTAAGTCAATTGGCAAAAAAGCGAATAATCCAGAAAAGAGCTAAGAGACAGAGATATTAGACTAAATCTTAGGAAAACAAGTGAAGCATTTGCGACAAGGCCCATAATAACTGTGGAGATCTAAAGTTACAGTTAGAGTCACTCACTCTTTCTATCCCTACTCCACCAAAGGTAAGCAAGGTGCCACTGGTTACATTCCACACTGTTTTTTAAAGGTATTTAACTGTTTTAAAGGTTTTAAAGTTGTTTTGTTTTGTTTGAAATGTGGCCTATATAGCCCTAGCTAGCCTGCAGCTGTTATATAGACCAGGGTAGACTCAAGCTCACAGAGATCTGCTTGCCTCTGCCTTCCCAGTACTGGGATTAAAGGCATATGTCATCACATCCAGCATATTTAAATATTTTAAGAACTAAAAATTAAATAGCTTTACTTCTTTTCTAGATACAATGTTAGAGGTCTAGATCACAAATTATAGGTGAATATCAACATCTCAGAAAATAAAGTACATTATTCTCTTCCCCTGGGGAGTTGTAGAAAGAGAGGAGGTCAATGACTCTTGGCTGTAAACTCCACTCTCACTGTAGGAGCTGATGTTTGGGGAGGAGGAGCGGGATGGGGAGTCAATGGTCAGCTCAAGCTTCATAGCAGAGTCGGGACTGTCAACATCAGAGGTGCTGCTGCTGCCACTCAGTTTGGCTCTTTTCTTAGCTGCACTATTACGAAGGGACCTTAGAGAGCTCTGCATCTAAGAAAAAGAAAAGCAAATAACTCATGAGATCAATTGTTAGATATACAAGAGCTAGCCTTAGATTTTTGAACTTCATTCATTAGCCAACCCTCCATCTAGTACAAACAAAATAGATGGCATTATATACACAGAAGAAGAAGCAGACTCCATTGCTCGGGTTAATAAACAACCTACAAGGCTGTGAACTACTATGTTCTACTATTATTAACCGTGACACTTTTGGGCAAAGAGCAAAATGATTGAATATATTGTATGAATTCAATGAATACTTAGTGCCTCTGAAATCACAGATTATAAGTGAAAGCAGCTAATCAGCTACTCCAGGTCCTTCCACACTCTAGAGAGGGTAACAAGAGATAAGCCCCTTCAGAGAATGGGACATCTACATAGAACCTGCAAGGGCTACATGTCAAAGTAATGGACCAACACATGACACTTCTAAAGTGAGCAACAGTGAGTTACAGTGCCAGTTCCAACAGGAATTATTTTCATAAAGAAGAAAAACTGTTATAGTACTAAAAAAAATACCATGTTTCCCCTGTGAGCTGACTATATTACAAAATATGAAAGGGTTTTTTAATGATTAAAAATGATATTTAGTTCTCACCTCTTCCTGATCCAAATCTTTATCCCGGAAATTCAATTCTGAAAGATCAATTGTAAGATTATCTTTTTCACTTTTCCAAATATCATCAGGCTGTCTCTTTATGTGTCCCACTGTGCTTAAGTCAGTTTTATCAGGCAGAAGGCTTATTCCCCTTGGTATGGGAGGGACAGGTTTTGACCCATTTAGGCCTCTTCGGGAAGAAGGTGATCTCACCAAGGCAGGTGTAAGTTGAACTGGAGTAGTTTTTTCTTGAAAATTTTCTCCTACATAAAAAAAATATATATTTTTTATTTTTTCTTATTTTCATAGGAAGTATGTTTGAGTCATAAGTATTTAGAATAAAGTAATTTTAAATTAAAGAGTTTATTATCTTAAATTAGAAAGAGATTTATATTAAATAAGATGAAATAAAAGTATCACTATTCAACAAAAAGTAAGTGTATGAAATCCTTCATATTATATAAAATACTATATATTAAGCTACATTTGGAGTTATCATAACTAATATTTGTTAACGATAAAGTCCAAAATAAGCCAGAAAGTTGACTCATTTGGTCTCATTTTATTATATAAACAGTATTTCAGTGACTGGTGTATGTTAAGCAGCACTGGGAACTGGGAAGAACAAGCTCACACGCACACACGCACACACACACTTCTGAGATTTTAGGGATCAAACTCAACACTTCAAGATAGCAACAGCTTTACCACTATGTTACACCCATAGACCAAATTCTTACTTTTTAATATGATACTTGATCTTATATGTAGAACAAACAAATTAACAGAAAGGTGTGAAGGGTCAGTGTGAAAATATTGTGATAGCATAGGTTGAGTAGAAAAGCACTGAGCTTATGGTTATCAAGTGAACTCTAGGTTTGTGAGTAACTTGAAAGCTGAATATCTTCCCTCAGAGGCTGAGGATAGAAAAGCATGTAGGATATAGAGAATGCCTTTAAATAGACTTTATTTGGAAACTGGATTTGTCTGAATGAATTTATATGCTAATGCCATGACTATGGTGTATTATTATTATAATTGGTTTGTTTTTGTGTTTTCAAGACAGGGTTTCTCTGTGTAGCAGAAGTCTAGCTGCTCTGGACTTACTTTGTATACCAGGCTGGCCTGAAACTCAAAGAGACCTGCCTGCCTCTACCTTCCAAATGCTTGGATTAAAGGTATGTGCCACCATGCCTGGCAAGGTGTAAGATATTAAGAGAGAATATTTTAGTTACTGAAAAGAGAAAATTCGTTACAATCTTTTTTTTAAGGCAAATAATAAACATTTTCAATGAATGTCAAGTACATAAATAGGTATCATAGTAAACTATAAAGGATTTTTGTATTTTCAATGCTAAAAACTTGCTAGTAGGCCCTTACAGTATGCCCCTTTGTACTATAAAGAACTGTTACTTTCCTAGTTCTAACATAATCATCTTAAAGTGGTAACACAAGTAAAAAAAAAAAACGATTTCAAATCAATGTTTTACTGTTTATCTGCTCTATTAAGTATATTATTATGTTCTTTCTTAATATTCACAGGCCAGAGGGAAAACATAGTTAGCCAGGTTTTAAAATTTAATAATGTTATATATTATCTTTAAAGCACTAATTCAAACATAAATAAACTTAAACAAAACACTGATCTTTACCATCGTTCCTACCTGTAGGGTCAGCTGACTTCTGGTTGACAAGCTTTTTCTGTGGACTTGGCTTTGATAGTCCTTCAAAGCTCTTAAGAGGCCAAGAATTTGAGAAACTAATGGGATTATCTTGAGACTTCTTTGGAGATACAGAAAGAGGAGATGTGTGCTTTGGACTAGTTCGAGGTGATGAGAGAGGACAGGATGGAAGGGTAAAGGGTCCTGGGCTTGAATTGGAACCAGAGTATGAAGAAGGTCGTTCTGATTGACTACCGAATGTTTGCTGTGTCTTACTGCCAAAATTAAGGCCAGCATACACTGCAACAAAACAAAGACAGTATGTTACTTACATACACACACTCATCGGCTCAGAGTTCAAAGTTCCCCTTTCATATTTAGCTCCCCCATATAGCATTTCTGTTTTTGTATTGTGTCAGGAATAAAACTAATTAATTTTGAGAAAAATACTTCATATCTTCAAACCCAAAGTTTTCTTATCCTCCTGAAATTTTCTACTACATTGGTAGTTATTTTCATCTTGTAATTTTATAAAATTGTATATATATGTAAGCATATATATGCATTTACATCAAATATATATGTAAAAAGAATATTTTTAGTGAACCATTATTCTCATTTTCTAATAATTATGGTGGACACATTTCCATATCTTCTTTGAGCATATGTCTATTGTACCTTTCCCACATTTTCTCCCAACTTAAATGTGTGTTGCATTTAGTAGAGTCTTTCACATGTTAAGCACATTATCTACCCTGGAGCTGTATCCCACCCATTAACACCCCCCCCCACACACACACACACCACACACCCATAAAGCAGCATTTCAGAGGAAAAAAAAATCTGATTGCATTTCTTTATGTACTTAGTCCAAGCATGTGCATGTGGAGAGCAGAAGTTTATGTTAGCTGTGGTCCTTAACTGCTCTTCACTTTATTTTTGGACTAGGCTGAAGTACTCTGACAATAACAGACTGTATTAAACAGAGGAATCACCCTCTCTGTCTGGCCAACACTGGCATTACAAGGGCACACTCCTGGGTCTGGAGTCTGCACAGGAGCTAGAGATGGAAACTAAGGCCCATATGCTTACAAGACAAATCATTGACAACTGAGCCGTCTTTCCTGTCCCATTACTAAAATTCAAATGGTAAGTTTTTCCTATTTATGTTGGTGGCAATTATTGGTAAGTTAGATTTAATTCTATTATGTCATCTTTGTTTTTGCATTACTTCAGTCCTATCTTTTGTTTCTGTTGGATGGGAAGCTGCCTTCAAACTTACCACAAACCCGATGCTGGCCTTGAACTTCCTACTTCTAACTCTACCTTCCTAGAGCTGGAATTGAAGGCATGCAAAACAGGCACAGCAGGAGTTTGTTTGTTTATTTGTTTTGTTTTTATAATAATGGTTCTTGAGTGACACCCAACGCCTGTGTGTCCTAGGCCAGCAGTCCTCTATAAGCTACCATAAGCTTAATGGATCAATTCCTACTACTACTTGTTTACATCATCCTCTTACACCTCTACGTATTTTTTTTTCCTTTTGAAATAGGATCTTGTGGGAAAACTCTGCTAATTAAGGTCAAAGTCCACCTCTAATGTCCACCTGCTCAATATGGACTGGCAGGGCTGTCTCTTCTCACCTTGTCAGAAGCATTCTAAACCCCAACACGGCTTCTACCTGAGAAGCCTTAGTTAGATTACAGGATCAATTTCCTTTCTACTGATAAAAACTCATTTAGCTAGTACCTAAGATTTTTGAAATGCTTTCCCATGTTAATGAGGCATTCCATACCCTAATTCCTCACCCAATGACCTTTGCTCATACTGGATGTTGCTACCCTCAGTTCCCCAAAACTTTATAAGCCTTGAATCACCCAAAGTAAAGTTGCATCCTTTTAGCCAGACCCAGTGTGGTCATTCTCCATAGGTATACTCACAGGGCTTCTGAAGTCTCTGCCCCCTTTGCCCCCTTTGCCCAAGTGGACCAAGTGGACCAAGTAGACCAAATGTCAGTCAAGAATCCATGAGGGTGGGAAGAACCACAGGGTCTCACCCTGTAGCCCCAGTTGGTCCAGACTTTATGTTTATGTCATGGCAATTCTCCTTGTCCCAAGTGCTGGGATCACAGGCATAAGCTATCCTGTCTTATCTGAAAGGACTATCAGGAGGTTATATAGTTCCTAAGAAGATGCAATAAATTCTATGTAGCTTTAAAATTTAAACAAATACATGTGCATAGTACTATTTAACTAATGTTACTTTCAATTCATGTCAGCCTTCGTCATAACTTAGTCATATTTAAATCAAGATTAAGAAGTCTAACATTTTAGAATAGTTATAAAAATATTAGTATCATTACATTATAACAAGTATTCATTATGATCATCCAAATTAGTGTGTGAGTTAGTTTTTAAATAATTACTTCAACAAAGTGGCACACCAATTTCAGGCACAAATTCACTAGAAATTTAAGTCTATTCACCTGAGAGTAAAAGCTGTATTTTTTTTTTTTTAAAAGGAAAGTGAGCAAGTGATTGGCACTGATAAAAGCCACGTGACTCCAGCGCGGGAACTGTGTACAAAATAATGCTGGCAGACAAGTCCTCTGCTCAGAGAAAATACAGGCTGCTCTGAGCAAAGCGAGCCAAATAAATAAGCCTCCATTGTGAAGAAGTCACTAAGTATAAAGATAAATATAGGAATTACTTGCTTTTAGGTAAGATTTATAAACAGATCTGTCCAAATCACATGAAGGTTATCACCCGCGGTTTGGAACTTAGATAGGGAAACTTGTCACTGGCCCTAGAGTAGAGAGTACAGTGTACAAGTGGAAGCTGCTCTGGAGTACAGAGCCAAACAGATAGATGGTATAAATAAAAGACTGTTGTAGGCAGAGGGCCGAACAGAAAGATAGTGTAAATCAGACGTATTCAGATGGTATACAGGAGACTCGGGTTCTGTCTAACATGGGCCCCACGGGAATTCTGGGTTCATTTCCTGTTTGGCAAAATAGGGAAGGCCTAAAGAATAGGCATATATAGTATTTTAGTTATTAAGTTGATTTTATTTTCAAGATGAGTGTGATTTTCAGTTCTGCAGTTATGTTTTTCCTCTGGGAAAGAGGTCAAGATAAAGGTTTTTCTGGTTACTGGCTCAAGGAAATGCTTTTTTGGGAAAAAGCTTTTGTCTGTGTGTTTTCAGAAGAGACGATTAAGATATTTCTACCTCCCAGAATTATATGGATTAGACATGACAGAGGCAGATCACCAGAAGACTAGATTCCAGAATTCAAACAAAAAATTATCTTGATGCTAAAACTTGTTTTGAGAATTGTATATTGCAGAATACATAGCCTTGGTGTATCTACTCATCAAGCAAGCTGAGCAGACCTGCTCCAACCTCTGATGTCCTGGAATTTCAGCTGTATGCAGTGAAGACACAGACGTCAGAGGCTTATCAATTTACTCTTTCCCCTACCCCTCTTCTAATATCTCAACGCCCGTAATCAGCTTGAAGAAGTTAATGAAGAGTCAACGCCCCAATTCCCTGGGCTTGGGGACTGAGGTGGTTATTATTGGGCTGTCTTTCTAGGGAAAAGTAGTGGTTTTGTTGGAACAGGGAGGAATAGCTAGGATTGATTACTTAGCCATAACCTATTGGTAGAAATCTGTATAATTGTTATTAAGCTAAAGTTATACTTCTTAAATAGCACAAAATTTATTTTGATTTCATATTTAAGGTTTTCATTGGTACGAGTTTCTTACTGATATAAAAGTGAGATTAATATTGTTACTCTCATAGGCATTGTGCCTATATAACACATTTAGGAATATAAGGCTTAGACTCAGTCTTTAACTTTTTTAATTGATTTGAGATGGTTAGCCTGTGAATTAAGGGCCTATAGCAAATACATGGCTCTGAGTTTATTGTTAGGGTATTTTCTAGATTTTAATTAGAAATAGCGGAGAGGAGTTAATGGACAACAGTCCAGATTGCTTTACATAGATAGTTGGTTTTCAAAAACATCAGAAGTCCACAGAAGTGACGTCACTAACATTACTGTATTAATGTTCATTGTGATTAGAGACCTGTCTGCTCCTGACAGCTCCCTGTCTTGGATTCTAAGAAGAAATTGAGCATCTTTGGAGTTACTCCAGTTGTGGTGAGACAGCCACTAGGCAAGAATTGCCTCTTTTCATCTACAGACTAATTACTGTCTAGAAAAGGACACACTTGCAGAATAGTCGACTGATTATATCTGCCAAGACAGAGTAATCAGCCCTTAATAATTCTGCATTACTAGGTCTGTCAGATGATCTTGGGCCAGAAGGCTGAAGACCAGATGCTCCAATGTTTTGAAGTAAGGGTGTCAAGGTAATCAGCAGTCTCTATAAATTGGCTAAGTTTTAGAAGCCACAGTTTGTGTTTCCCATTATCTTCAGTTAATTCAGTCATTCTGGATTTCTGACGGAGTTGAAGACTTATAGTCTCACAGCCAACCAAGGCTCTTTGAGAGGATGGTTTTCAGATGGCATTTTTTTTTTTTTTTTTTTTTTTTGGTTTTTCAAGACAGGGTTTCTCATGATGGCATTCATTCTAAAGCCAAGAAAAAAAAACAGGTTCAGAACTAAGTCTTTTAATTAGGAGAAATGACAGAGGTTCTGTTTAGTCAACAAAATGATGGACTGGGTATTAGGTCTATCTTGTACCTTACTGATACAAATTGGTATAGTTATGCTCCACTAATTGTATTTTGAGAGAAAGTTGTTTTTTTTTTTTTTAATAACAGTAAGGGTGATATGTAGGAGGAGCTAAGGTGAGAGGAGTTAGGAGAGGAAGAGGAAAAAGGAAGAGGAGGATCGAGGAGAGGAGAGAGAGAGAGAGAGAGGGGAGATGGAGGTGGATGCTCACGTGTCTGTAGCAAAGGTAGTTGGTATATCTAGGTTGTGTATTGGGTTACACTTCTGATTGTATGGGTATCTTGTTATTGATCATTACCAAATATATAAGCCTGTGATTAATCTTTAAGCATTAAAGTCTCATCTTTCTATTGTGCCGGTGTGGATGGTGGGGTGGTCTGGGCAACGCCCAGTCTTGTGAAGATAGAATGGAAGACTGGCAGAGCCATCTCCCACGCTGGCATCTCGTGGGTGGCACGGCTGGTGTTTCTGGCTGGCCGGTTGGTTCTAGCTGCTGGGCGCATGTGGCCTCTGGCAATGGAACATGGTGGCTGAGCTAGGCAGAGCTGCCGCAGCTTAGATAGATAGTCAGCTTTACCAGTGGCTGTTTTAAATAATTACTTCAACATAGTGTCATAATGACACTTGTGTAACATTATAAATAACATTACAAGTGTTACTTATAATATGTAACATAAATAATGCTGCTTTGTAAATCTGGAGCTTATACCTTTATCTTGATGGCCATTGGCTGTCCCCAGGAACTGTAAGTCAGAACCCACACTGCCAGTTTTACAACCTATCTGTGACAATCCAAGTTGCCCACATTTCTCAGAAAGATTTGTCTGAAGATTTGCAGTATTACCTTTGAAAAAAGAAGGCATGGAGGAACAAAGTAAAAATAAAGGTTATTTTATGAATATATATTTCATAAATGTTGGTAAAATTATATTCTGGACTTTAACTCATGACTATAGGATTTTCCAATGGCAAATGTCATCCTTTTCTTGCTTGCTTCACTTAGGAAGCCAAACACACACACACACACACACGCATGCACATACACTAAGAAAAATTCTGCCTTTCACAGCTCCAAGAGCACACAGGAGACAGCAGAGGTAGGAAGATCTGTGAATTCAAGACCAGCCTGGTCTACATAGTGAGTTCATCTGCCTCCTGAGTGCTGGCATTGAACAAGTATGCCACTAGTCAGCTAAATACCTCCTTCTATGATAACTACACAATTAAATATCTTTCCAATTTCTTTGGAAGTTCTTAGACTCTGTTTACTTCCCTTTTACTTTCTGTGAGGACTCTTATCAGTAAATCAGGTCAATTTTCCCTATGAATGTAATCAGAATGCAATCTCTTTCACTATATTCACTGCTGGGCTGGTTAAAACCCCTATAAACCTCAACCAGGATTCCAACAAGGAACTCAGTCAGTTCTCCCTCTTTTGCCCTTTGCCTCCTTTCACCTGCATTAAAAATAACATCCAAAATGCATGGCAGAGAAACGGTAAGTGATTGCACTTTTTCAAAATTCTTCTCAGGATAGGCTCATTCATTAGCAGTTTAAGAAGTCTTACACTGAGGCCTTTCAGTTTTGCACCTTTCATTTCAACCATCTTGGTTCTTCTGCCCTGAAATCACTTGTTCTTCACTCTTCATCTAATGTGCTTCAAACATTCCCCTCCTGAATACTGCCTGTTAATCACATAGTTTCAAAGATTCCTGTTCCTCTTTCACATCACTATCTAATCTATTGTGTCTTAAATTGATTTAATATCTGCTCCCCTGTTCTACTAGAAATTGATGCTTTTCTGCTTGTTTTGGTTTTGAAACAGGATCTTACTATATAGTCCTGGTGGGTCTGAAACTCTTTTGTAGACCAGCCTGGCCTAAAACTCGTAGAGATCTGTTTGTTTCTTCCCCCTGAGTACTAGCATTAAAGATATATATCACCACATCCATCATAGAATACAAGCCTTCTCGAAATATTACACCTTTTTTGAAAGCTACATCCCTAGCATTAAGAAACATAACCGACATGTAGAGATGCTCAAGAAGTATTAGTGTCTTTAGTGACCATGGCCTTACACTACTAACAGCCTATAATGAGATGACCTATGATCTCATGACACAATTATGTCAAAGTGCCTGCTTTTTAGCCAATCTTCAATAAGCATTTATTAATTTACTATGTATATATAACATAAATAAATTTATAAGTAACAGAAAATTTAAATTCCTAGTAAATAATATAATTTATTAAACCTGACTTGTCCATTGGATTATATATACTTTCTACAAGCCCTCAAATGGATTATGAAGTTTAGAGAAATCTTTAACTTAGTTCAAGAGACTATCATTTCAAATATTTACTTACCAGCACCACATGTAGGAATTGAATCTGAGTTAAAATCCCGACTACTCTGAAATAAGTTTCTTGATGACCTTTTTTTGCTAAAACATAAATCATCATTGACTGGCATTCCTTGAGAGGGCTTTAATTTTGGAGATGGGATAAGGTCATGAGCTGCAAACTGAGAAGAGAGTAAGTTAGCAAATTTTTGCTAAGCCTTTTCAGTTATAAATAATTTAAAACAAATTACAAAACTCAGATAAAGAAAAGTATTATTGAGTATGTAGTACAAACACTCGTTCAGTATGACACATTAATAGTATTTTTCTTTCCAAGATAGAAATGCTACTTTTTTCTTTCTTTTACTAGACTGCAAGTCTTTTCTTTACCTTCTGGCAGTAAGAAAGGAGACAAAACTCAAAGGAAAAGGATGTCTGCTGACTCATCAGCAGACAGTCTACTCTGCGTCATTTCAGCAGTAGGCAATGAGCACCTTAACTGACAAGCATCCGGCTCCTCAGACACGCAGAGGCAGTGATTGCTAATCTATAGCCCGACTGAAAGTACTACAAACCAAGGGAAAGAATGTTACCTCAGGGCTCTGGTTACAACCACTTAAGTAGGGGCTAGAGAGGTGCTCAGTAATAAAATGTGCTTACAGGCCTATGAGAAGCCTGACTAGCAACAAACAAACAAACAACGACCTCCAGTACATTACACACGCAGTACTTGATGGTTTCCAGATACTGTCTCATAAACACAGCATGATCAGTTAGTGACAAAAGTTCCTCAAAGTCAGTATTACAATTTCTACAATTGTTCATACGATAGTAGTATTAAACAAGAAGCCAATTACAGTGAACTTCCAACTGAATACTTTAAAACAAAAGATACATTAACAGACTAGTAGATGATCTAATAAACAGTCTTCACTGTGTAGTCAATTTTACATTATATTTGCTTTGTAATTAATTTCAACTTTTTTTTTAACCCATCCTCTCCTATAACCTTTCCAAACTCTAATAACTCTTTTACATCCAGGCTAACATTTTTTTAAGTTTCCACGTTAGAGAGAACATGAAGTCCTCTAATTCCATTAACATGATTTTCACGGTTTTAAAAGTACTAAGAAAGTTTTCATATTCAGAGAATTCTAGAATTTTAAAAAGTAAACCACTTACTGGTGATAATCTAACATTTATACTGATAACTTTTAGGCTACTCACAATTTTGACAAGCTCTAATGTAAAGCTTGCTTGTTTTGGAGGGTTTAAGACAGGTCTCTTAGCTCAGGCTGGGCTCAAATTCACTGTGCAGTCAAAGATGACCTAAATTCATGTTTTTTTTTGTTTTTGCCTCTACCTCCCAAATGCTAAGACTATAAGTATGAGCCACCAGACCTAGTTTTTGCAACACTGGAGATTGAACCCAGGTCTTGTGCATTCTAGGCAGGCATTCTACTTACTTAGCTATAAATTCATTCCCAAGCTTATTTATTGATTGATTGACTGATTTATAGAGGCTAACCTCAAATTTGCCATTTAGCCCAGGATGGCTTGTAATTCACAATCTTGCCTCAGCACCAAATACATAAATTATAGGCATGTTCCGCCACACTCACAATGAAAGTTTTTCCTAATCACATAAGAATACTGTCAGTATCCCCTAACTGGTACCTCCATCATATAGGTACCAGTCATTGAACACGGGTCGTCAGGCTTGGTGGCAACTGCCTCTACCCACTGAGTTACTAGGTGCTCTAGAATCTATGTTTTGAAGAAGATACTGATGCAGTTCATATACACATTAAAATTTATCTTTGTCTTTTCCTTTCTTTTGGCTTTAAAGCTCTCTTTCATCAGTGTGTATGCGTGCGCGCACACACACACACACATACATACTGCACTATAGAGCCTCATTTAGGGAACAGTAACAAATACAAGCAATAAGACAGAACAAACATATACTTTACATATGACTGCAGGGGTGAATTTTCTGTATCTTTCATACTTAAAACCTAGCACAGAGTATATGTGCTTAATTTAGAGTTGAATCTCTGGACTATCTTTTTATATCAGGGCTTCTTTATTCAAAAGTAACCAGTAATAAGTCCATCCTGCCTATGTCTTGGTGCTACTGTTTTGCTTGGTTTTTTCTTTCACTGTCAAACAGTGGGGAAAACACTGCGGTTATAAAAACCAAAACCACAGGTTGGAGAAATCGCTCAGTGGGTAAAGGAACTTTCTGCCAAGTCTGATGACCTGAGTTTGACTCTCACATTGAGGAAGCTGAAAATCAACTTCTACAAGTTGTCTTCTGACCATAACATGCTAACTGTGACATGTACATAAATGCCACAGAAACTATACCTTAGCACATCATCTTCCAGTTATAGAAAATCAAAGACAAAGAAAATGCTGGAGGCAAAGACGAGGGGAAAAAAAAAAAACAGAACCAAAAGTAAAAATTACATCTGACTCCTCAGAAATCATGGAAGAGAGAAGAAAGTGAGTGAAGTAAAATGTCAAGGAAATGAAAGAGAAAACAAACGCCACTAACCTAGCTAGACTTCTGAATCCAGGGAAATCACCACAAAAGTGAAGGACAAAAAGACAAACAGAGACTGAGGCATTTTTCTAGTAAGACCTTTCCTTACAACAAATGTTAAAATCTTTGATATACCCACAGAAAGCAGAGAGAGAGAAGCAAAGGGACTGACAGACAGACATATATGAGTGCGCTGGAGAAACAATAAGGGAGGTATAATAAATTTCTTTTTTTAATTTTTAGTGTGTGTGTATTGCCTGCATGTATATCTATGCATCATGTATGTGTCTGGTGCCTAGGAATGACAAAAGAGGGTGTCAGGTCCCCTGGAACTGTAATTACAGAAGATGATGAGTCACTATGTGGGTGTTTGGAATTGACCCCAAGTTTTCTGAAAGTGTAGCAAGTACTCTTAAGCATTAAACCATCTCTTCAGCTCCTTTTTTTTTTTATTCTTGATTGCTCTAAGAACAACTCAAAACAGCAGTATTAATGTTTCTATTTATTGTGTCTGTGAAGATATAAATGCATACTTAAGGCAACTACAAAACAAAGAAAAATAAAAGAGCAATTGATAGGCTATAAAAAAGTTAAAGACAGACTCACAAACATTCTCAATTAAATCTATAAAAGACTAAAATGTTAAAGACAGAAATAAACATAAGCAACAAATAGAAAATATTATATATACTAATTCATCATATTAAGTGTTAACAGTTTAATCTATACCAATTAAAACACAAGATGGGTTATGGAGATAGCTCAGTAGTTAAGAGCTTTTGATGTGCAAGCAGGAGGTCCTGAGTTCAAATCTCCAGAACACACATGAGAGAGGGGAGGGGGAGGAGAAAAGCAGAGGATGACTGAACAGAAGCCTGTAGCCTCAGAGCTGTCAGACAAGAGACAAGAGAATCTCTGAAAACTGCTGACTATCAGCCTAGCTCCAGGTTCAGCGAGAGACCCTGTCTGAAGGGAATGAGGCACAGTGATACAGTAGGACAACTGATACCTCCTACACACATACAAAGCCTATAACACATACCTATAGCACATATACCACAATCATACAAAAGAACATTTTAAAGTTGTCTGAGTAAAACAAAAAGGCAAAATCTAACTATATATCTTCTATGAGAAAGCAAGTTTAAATATGTTAATGTATATACATTAAATAAAAAGATAAAGAAATACCATGCTAATATGAATAAAAAGAAACCAGGCATGGGGCTGAAGAGATGTCTCAGCAGTTAAGAGCACTGACTGGTTGCTCTTCCAGAAGACAATGGTTAGACTCCTAGCATATCTCTAGCAGTTCACAAAAGTCTATAACTCCAGTCTCACAGGATCCAGCAACACCCTCTTCTAGACCTCAGGAGCACTGTACGTATGTGATACACAGACGTACGTAAAGGCAAAATACTTATACAAATAAAATTAAAATTAAAAACAGGAAATCAGGCATGACTGTTAATTTCAAACAAACTGAACTTGGGAGCAAAAAATTTATTAGCCATAAAAGGAGTACCTCTCAGTAAAGAGATCAATACTCCAAGAAAATATCATTTTAATAACAATATAATATAGTGTCAAACTACATGATAGAAATACAAGCAGAGTCAGGCAGTGGTGGCGCACACCTTTAATCCCAGCACTTGGGAGGCAGAGGCAGGTAGATTTCTGAGTTCGAGGCCAGCCTGGTCTACAGAGTGAGTTCCAGGACAGCCAGGGATATAAAGAGAAATCCTGTCTCGAAAAACCAAAAAGAAAAAAAAGAAAAAAAAAGAAAGGAAAAAGAAATACAAGCAGAACAGCAAGGAGAAGTGAATGAATCCACTAGTATAGATACAGACTCCATCACCCCTTCATCCTGAGAAATTGACAGATCCATATGGAGAAAAATAGAAAGGACATTGAACTCAACAACCTGAATGAACTGGATATAATTATCATCTACAGATAATTTCATGTAGCAACAGACTGTGTATTCCTCTCAAGCTCACATTCATCAACATTAGAGAATAGTCTGGGCTAAGAAGACAGCAAGCCTATGGTAAGGAACTTGTGTGAGGACCTGTGTCCAGATCCCCTGTGGATGCAGGATCTGCAACCCTACTGCAAAGCGGATGGGGCAGACACAGGCTGACCCCTGGAGCTTGCTGAAGAACACTCTAGCTCCAAGTTCAATAAGAAATCACACCTCCCAACAGGAGGCAGACATCTACAGAGGAAGGTACTCAAACCCAACCTCTGGTCTGTGCATACTCACACTTGAGAACCACTCTCTCATGCACGCACACACACAGAAAGAGACCACACTCTAGGCCACAAAACACATTAAAAAATTTAAAGGAATATGCCAATATAATAGCTGTTCTCAAACTGCAAAACATTAAGCTAGAAATCAGCAACAAACAGAAAACACTAAAAAAAAACCCAGTACTTGGAAATTAAAAAATATAATTTACACATAAGTCAAAGAAGAAATACTAAGTGAAATTTAAGTAAATTTCAAACTAGATAAAGATATTTCTGGAGTAAAATTGTTTCCATTATTTAAAAAACTAAAGTTTTTACACCAGCAAGATGGCTCACCAGGTAAAGGCACTGCAAAACCTGATGAACAAACTTCAATCCCACAACCCACATGGCCCAGGAGACAAGCAGCCCTCTCAAGCTGTCCGGTGACTTCCAGACATGTATCATGGCACATGTGCTCCCCAGCTCCCTCCAGTAAATAAATAAAATGGAAACAAGGAAAGAACAAGCTAAAATAAAAGCAAGTAGAGGAAAACAGTAACAAAAAAAATAGCACAGAAATCAGTGAAAACAGGAAATCAAAACAGACACTTTACAAAACCAAAGACTGGCTTTTTTAAAAGATCAGTAAAACTGGTAAGCTTTTAGTTAGGCTAAAAACAGAAGACACATTCTTAACAGCAGAAATGAGAGAAAACCACATAAATCATATCAATATTAGGATGAAACAGATAATTTGACCAAGTCTACCTCTAAATTCATTGAATAATCACCTCCAAATCAGAAAGCATCAGGGACAATCATGTTCATTAATGAAATCTATTTAACATTTGCAGGAGAAATGTTGTCAATTTTCTATAATCTTACTTAGAAGACAGACACACATCAGGCATACTTCCTACCTCATTCTATGAGGATGGTGCATATGCTCTATGACTGCAACTCCATGAAACTCAGAAAAAGGCAAAGTGTGCAAATAAAAAAAGACCAGCATTGCCAAGGGATGGGAGGGGGTGAGGGATAAGCATTCACAGCACAGCGGTGATGTATAGCAACTAAACTATTTTATGTTAGCTCCGTGGTGCACACAGATATACTTGACGAAACCCACCAGAATATACAACACAGGAGTGAAGCCTAACTAAAGGACGGACTCTGTGGTTCTTCTTGCTGGTCATTCATTGACTACAATCGTATGCTCTATCATCAGTGGTGTGCTGGGAGCTCTGGAGCAGGCTGGTTAAGTGTTAGGAAATC